ACCCCTGGAGCAGCGGAAGTGAGCTCATGGCTCAGTTTCCTGTGCTGGGAATTGGTTCCTGGGGCGAATTTCTGCCATTGTCCAAATCTGTGAGGATTCCTGGTTTCACCAGGGTAGGGGCAGCATTTCTCCTGCCCGGCAGGGCAGCTGCCACGGGCAGAGGGGGACCCAGATCACACCCAGACACTTGACACAGCACCGCGCTGCTCCGTTGGCTTGTGGACAGCACCTGGGATATTGGCAAACACCCCTCAGGGCTGGGGGGGGGGGGCGGCGGGAATGCCACAGCCTCATGGGAGGGATAGACCAGCTGTGGTCTCCACTTCCAGAGCGTTCGGGGCAGATGGACCCAGCATGGTCTCAGTCCCACACCCACCCCACAAAGTCACCATGGCCTCAACCACCCCCTCCTTTGTGATGCTGGTGGCGGGTTCCCAGCCCTGCAGCCTAAACTCTCTGGTCACCACCTCCTCCAACCAGCGGGATGGGAAATTCCCAGCAGGACCCTGGTCATGTGTTTCCCTGGGGGGAATCCCCCCACTGCCATCACTGTCACCATGGAAACCCCCCTCCCAGATGGAGGCTGAGAGGGACTTTTTGCTAGTTTCACTTCCTGGATCCCTCAGTCCCTTAGGCAGAACTTCCCACTTGCCCGCAGGGACATCTGTTGGCTCGGCCACCCGGCTGGCACACACAGGCCACCCTACGCTGTGCCCCGCTTGCCTGGGGGGCACTTGGAAGGGTCCCAGCTTCCCAAGGGGGCATTTCCCCTCTGCACGGCATGATGCTGCCAAGTGGGGCTGGAGCAGTGTCGGTGCCACCTGAACCAACACAATTCCGGAGCCAGGCAGCAGCGCAGGGACCAGCTCGGGGCTGCGGGGCCGACAAGCCGATCCCTGCGCTGTGATTGCTTTTCCTTCTAACTTTGAGCTGGTGCATGGGGCAGCCGCCAGTCCCCCGGCCAGGCCTGCTCGAGGGGGGAAGGTGCTGGACTAAAGAGAGAAAACGACTGCCGGCCACGTCACCGTTCCCCTGCCCGGCACAAACCGTTCTCCAGGAAGCTGTGCTGCTGGGCCTTGCCCAGAGGGGGCAGCACCAGAGGCTGCCGGGCCCTGGCACAGTGGCAGGATGGCAGCTGTCAGCTGGAGGGCAAAGGGTCCAGAGGGACACAGGCACTGAGCACCAGCAGGAACTGGGCTGTGGCCCCTCGCACGAGGCTCCTGCTACGGCTCAGCGAGCAGCTCCGGCAGCACCCGCCCTTTTACCGAGCCTCGGGGGGAGCTGGAGCCCAGTCCCGGAAAGCTCGGCTCCCTCGGGCTGCCAGGATTATTGTAGCTCTGCTGGGCCCAGACCCTTCACCTAGTTCTTGGCAGGAAACCAATTGCAGCTGAGTCAGCAGATCCGGCTGATTATTCCTGGGCTGCTGTTCACAGAGCAGACAGGGCCTTGGTTCTCCCAGCCCAGCCCTTCCCTGGGCTGGCTTCGCTGTGCCGTTTCCTAGCGGCAAGGGGGCACCTGGCTAGCAGCAAGAGGAGTGGGGAGCTGGCACCGGGAACAGGCAGCTTGGGGGGGCGTTGCCCAAGGGGGATAGGCAGCCAGAGCGGGGAGCTTCACGCGGAACAGCCTCCGTCAGTGTTGTAGGGCCCGGCCTGCATGTGCTGCACTGCATAGAGCAGCAAGGAGGCGCTATCGCCCCAGGACGGGCTCCAAACGCTCAGATGGGGGCGGGGGCAGAGCCTTATGTGGACACCAGGTCCCCTTCCCCATGGCTCCACGTGGGCTGACGTGGAACTAAAGGTGTGTCCTTCCCTCGGGTTAAAGGAGCAGCGAGGACAGGGCCCCTAGCCTCTCGCTCGGGGTAACAGCTTTAACTCACGCTGCCAACCCAAGTTAAAGCCAGGCTCCACCATGCCTTCGCCGCTTGAACCCCGTGTGTGCAGGGCAGACGTGGCAGCCCGAAGGGGGGCATGGCACTAGCAAGGTAGCAGGCGGGTTAAAGTGCCGTTAGCTGATTGTCATGCAAGCTGGCGTCTGGAGACAAGGAGAAGAACCAGCCGCCTGTGCACAGCCTATTCCCCAACGCCCCCGCCCCACAGCCCCTAGCAAGAGCCGAGACCCCAGCCCCCAGTCAGTGCCCAGCCCCAGCCTGTCCCGTCCCTGCAGCCCAGGGGAGTCTGCCGCACAGCTGCTCAGCTCCCTGCCCCAGCGAGCGAGGCGGGAGAAAGGCCCAGTGGCCCAGGCTGGCTCCGACCTGCTGGGAGCCGCCTGGGAGAGTGGGAGGAAAGCTGGCAAGCCCTGCTATTTCCTGTGTGTGCATCCCGGCCCCCACTGGCTGCTCCCAGAGACATTTTTGACCCAGCAGCTGTAGGAAACCCAGCGCCAGAGGCTGAGGGATTTAACCCCTTCTGAGCCAGGGCAGGATTCGGGAGGAATAATACAGCTCGGAGACCAGCCGAGCACGCAGAGCCCAGGGGTTCTGTCCAAGGAGGCCAGCCCGGGTCACAAGGCACCACAGCCTTGGCTGCGGCTTTTGCTGCAAGTGGATCCTGGTATTTGAGCACCATTTTGGTCCCAAGGGCCCAATCCAGCTGAAATTCATGTCACTCAGGGACTGTCTATTTGGGAGGTAGCCCAGGGGTTGCTGCCTCGCTGCAACCACCCGTGTCAACACCCGGCACCAAGGCAAAAAGGGACTCGTGCTGCTGCAACTTACCCCGGTGTCAAACTGCTTTACCCGTGCAGGGCATGTACCCCGCAATTTGTATTACCATAGCAACCCCCGGGCAGAAATCCACACGAGGTGGTCTCAGGCTCTCCTATCTGCCCCGCTGTATTGCTGACTCCGGCGCTGCCCTGGAAAGGAGCTCTGTGAACAACCCTCAGCGGCCTAGGCAGAGATAACTCTGCCCTCCCCACTTGCTGGGGGTTTTGGGGAGAGCTCCAGCCTCTTCCAGTGGGAAGTGGCGGATAGGGGGAGAATGTAGTATCTTCACAGGAAACAACGGTGTCTCGCTGGGGGTTTGTTCTCTCTAGTGTTTCCCACTCTCGTTGCTGCTTGGAGCTTGTGGAGTTGGTTCTAAACTGCCCCAGTGCACGTGGGAACCGGTCACTGCACCTTCCAAACATGTCTGGTGCCTGCTAACATTGTAACAGATGTCTTGCAAAAGACGGATAGCTAGAAAAGGGCCTGGGGATGGACAGAAGGGGTGTGTGTGCCGGAGACAGATAAGAGACTGATTGTTGTGTTTTGCAATATTTTAGATTTGCTGAATATTCCTGCCACTGGCTGGAATCTGCCAGTTGATCACGCCGGGCAGATCTTTGTGATGATGTCCCTGACAGAAGAACTGGGTTGAGTTTCCTTTACTCTGGGTTTTCAGAAAGTCCTTTCCTTCAACTGGCCCTTTGGAAAATCGCTGCAAGTGTTTGCTTGTTACACATAAACACACGCTCATACACACATGTGAACACACACCTACACCTGCATTTAAATGACGCTAAGGGGCTGCAGACAGAAATGTAGAGTGAAAGTAGCTGCTACCGTCTATCTCAACATAGAGTAACTAAGGTGGGTGTTTGCTGCCCCAGTGGGTGGTCTGACAGACCCTGCTACCCCTAGGCACCGCAGGGAGAGAGCAGCAGTATTGCAGTGTCAGTTTATATTGGATTTGACATTACTTCTAGGATTTTTCCTGTAGATTAAAGAGTATCTTGGTTTGGCATCTGGGTCCGCTAGTAACCCTCTCCCCTGCCATCTGGTGCCCCAACACCCACAATTCTCCTCCCATGGTTGTGTGTCCCAGGCAGAAATCCCACAAGCTGTAGCTGGAGTCCCTGCTAACCCACAACTTTCCCTGACACGGCTGCAGGCAGAAAAGCATGTCGTTTTGTGGAGTGACTCAGTCAGCGGATTCTGGCGTCTTGGGTCAGTGTTGTTTGGTTCTTGTGCACAATGTTTATTTGAAAGCCAGCCAGAGGTGAGGGGTGGCTTACAGCAGTGGGTGGGCGAGGTTCTGTGGCCTGCAGGTCAGACTAGATGATCATGATGGTCCCTGCTGGCCTTAAAGTCCCTGAGTCTCTGAAAGCAAATAAGCACCAGCCTCCAGGGCTCTCCGGGCTGCATGAAACATTGTGCAAATGGTCATTTGAAACAAATGGATTCAACGGAGCCAGTGAAGCTCGTGGGATCAGCAAAGGAAGCGCTTTGTTTGTTTCTCTTGCCTCTTCAGTCATAACCTTCTAACCAGGGGCTGCGAAGAGACTGGAGGGGGCTGGGTTTCTCCTCCCCCTTTATAGCACCAGGCCCTTTGTGGGAGTCCAGCCGCCTTCTCCTGCCCAGTGACGTCAAAATCCTCTGCCTGTGACATCAGCCATCTCCATGGCAACCAGCAGTGAGGTCACACTAAGAGGATTGTGGCCTCACACCAGCAGGCCAGGGGCTGAAGAGACCCTTGCACACAGCTGGGGGGCAGTGGGTGGGTGTGAATTCTCACCCTCTGCTCTGCACGGCTCGTAGGGAGGGGGGAGCATGTCCCCTTCCCCCCCAGGGGCACCTGTCTCTCAGCGGGGGCGGGCGGAAGGACTCCTGCTGGCGTGGGGGGGGGGGGGGGTTTGCTATGGCAGGGTGAGCTGCCCAGGGGGGTCCCAGCGCTGGAAGCCAAAGGCCCTACCCAGGGGCCAAGCTCGCCTCCTGCATCAACCTGCGCGAGCCCCCTGCCCGGAGACCCCGAAAACTCAGAGGCTCTTTGCTTGGACGGGGGGGGGGGGTGAATCCCAGACACAAGTGCCCGGATTGTCCCGCGGGGAGCGCGCTGCGGGTGGGGGCACCGTGCCCGACAGGCGCAGGGCGCGGCAGCTCCGCGCTGCTCCGGGGCAGCCC